CGCACACAGACACAGACAGAAACACAGACAGAAACACATCCAGACACACACACACACACACACACACAAACACACACACACACACACACACACACACACACACACACACATAAACCCACAAACACAATTTGCATTTTTTTAAAAACAAAAATTGGAATTCAGTGCTTCAAAAATAAAAAAAATAAAGTTGGTATCCACTAAATGCTACCATTTCAATTATAAATGTATGGCAACGCATCATAATAATAGGCATGCGAATCAATCAGAACAACATACTTCATAGACTGTAGATGGTCGCATTTTGTCTTTAGACGGGCTGTGTCTAGTTGTTTGGGATTTTTAGTTTTAGTTTTAACACAGCTCCTCTTTCTCTGTTGGATTTTGGCAAAGGCAAAGGTGTCCAGTCAGCCGTGAGCTCCAGTTTATAAAGGATGGTTCCACAAAGACGATTACAATGTTCAAAGATTGGTGACAGTAGCATCACCTGCACGCTTTCCGAGTTTATAGACTCAGGTACACCAAAGTCTCTGTAGTTGGAGAAGAACATAATGTGGTTTAAATACCCAACATTATATGTGTAGTGTTTGTGAGAGTCTCATTTATAAACTTGACATTGTGAGCAGATAGTGAATGACTTTCAGCGCCCTTGATTCTGTTTTCAGTGGTTGCATAAACTCAATCCACTTTCATAACGTATACACTTTTTCTAAATGATATTTTTGTTCGATGGTTTTTAAGTTTCCCAAAACGGTTGCCATGACTTCTTGTCTAGTTTTATACATGCAGCCATGTCAAGAGATTATACATTAAAAAAGTCTTGTGTAAAAAGGAAGATTACCCAGCAAGACTCAAACGTGTTACCCTTTCAGGCTCATTCCATACATAGATCTAACACAAGAAAACACGGGTGCGAAGGTTAAGGATTCTGAAGTTGTGGACTTGAGAGTCTTGTTTTGTAACTTTGGGCCAAAGCTTGTGAATTTGAGCAATATGTGTACGTTGCACACCCACAGATATGATCAACCGTCCAGCTTCAGTATCTGCTGCAACCTCTTTGTCTTTCTTTTTTCCCTCTTGTGCTGCATCTTTTTTCTCTCGGTGAGCATTGTACTTTTCCTCGTCTAAGTTGCCCTTGTCATGTGCAAAGAAATACATGTCACACTTATCCTTTCTTGGGTGAAAGATAGATATCTTGTCCTCCTGGATTATCTTTTTAAAAACACGTCGAGATAGAGGAAATTTCCCAACATTAATGCAATGCTTGACGTATTCTTTGTATTGATCTGCATAGTTTCTACCTGTAGAAAAAGTTTACGGTACTATTTTGACATTTCCTTTCTGCAGTAGTGAGAAGGCATCAATTGCATTTTAGAGAGAACTTCTTTAATTAAGAGAGGTCCCAATATCTTCTTTGTAACTGATACGTCTGGACAATCTGTTCTGAACTACTCACTCAGACACTTCAGGACGTACACAGTTTCGCACCAGTTGCGTTGACAGACACAGTTTTTCACACTCTGATCCTCCCTTTGCTGCCCTGTCGGTGGTATTCCTGGGAAGCTTGTCTTCTGGAAACGGATGCATCTGTTGTTCTTTCGTTAATTTGTGCGGGTGTCACGGACGGTTTTACAACTAAACTTTTTCACACATTGTCATATTTTGATGCGCGTGTATTTTCCCTATTACTTCATCTGCCCTCTCTTGGTATCTCAGATGACTTGACTTACACAAACATCTTGAACCCAAGCTTTGAGCATTCCTTTTTAGTTGGGTATATTCATCAGCATGGACGGCTGAGTATTGTTCAACGGTATGAACCGTCAATATTCAGATTCAGTAGGGATACACGGGTTGCTTATGCGACAGTTACACGCATTTCTACGGGTTATTATATCTCAAAATCGCAACAGAACATGCATAGTGGCCCTGTGATGATAAATACAACGAAAAAACTATGTTTCTATTTTAAGACGTACACGGTTTGTGACTTTCACCGTCGATATATATATATATATATATATATATATATATATATATATATATATATATATATATATATATATATATATATATATCCAATTATTTCAAATTTTTTTCATGTCTCCTTTGCAAAGTGTGAACTTTGGCCTGCAGTAGGATACAAAATAACAACATATAATAAACTCTTATATTTCACTTGCACACAGAACAAGGAATACAAGATTAACCTCAAGGCTAGGAACTGTACTGTGGGCGCTTTGACAAGACCCTTCATCCACTTCGGTATCCCCCCTGATGCCAAGTACACCGGCACTGCCAACGTTGGGCCCGTGAATATTCCTGATGAGCACGCCACCGTCATCTTGTTCGAGGGAACTGATCGGGAGAGTGGAGGTTCGTATACACTCACACGCAGACACACACAAACACACACACATATACATACATACATACATACATACATACATACATACATACATACATACATACATACATACATACATACATACATACATACATACATACATACATACATACATACATACATACATACATACATACATACATACATACATACATACACACTATACATATATACATATATATATATATATATATATATATATATATATATATATATATATATATATATATATATATAACATTATATAAATATATACAGACTTCAACAAAAGTTAAGGACCACTTGCAAACACTCTGAGTGATCTTCTTGGGTCGACCTGCACGTGAGCGTTTTTGGACTGATCCAGTGGCTTGATGGCGCCGCCTCGAGCTAACAATGAGAGAGTGTGACACTGCAAGCCTTTTGGCAACTTTTCGGGCTCCAAATCCATCATGCAGCCATGCCATAGCGCTGGCACGATCAAAGTCTCTCAGCTTTTGTCTTGGTGGCACATTGATACTATACTAAATTTTGCGAAAATGGCAGCTTATATTACCACAAAAGTGAGCACAGTTCGAGACCGTATGTCCGTTTAAGACGTGCACCAGAAATTTTAACTGAGGAATGTCCGTGGTGTCGCACACAAGTCGATGAAAACAGCAAATTTGGCTAAAATGCACTGAGGGTTTCCGTGCAGCACGTGATGGTTTTGCACCTTTAGGAAGCATTGCAGTACACATTGGTAACCCACTAACACTTTCAGAGCAAAAAACTTTAAAACATTTCTTGCTGTCTTTTTTTTCGGATTTTTTAAAAATTGGAGCTGTCTGTCAAGGTGGTCCTTAACTTTTGTTGAAATCTGTATATAAATAAATAATATATAATAATGTACTATAATATTATTTATAGAGAGAGAGGTAGAGAGAGAGAGAGCGCGAAAGAGAGAGAGAGAGAGAGAGAGAGAGAGAGAGAGAGAGAGAGAGAGAGGGAGAGAGAGAGAGAGAGAGAGAGAGAGAGAGAGAGAGAGAGAGAGAGAAAGAGAGAGAGAAAAGGAGAGAGAGAGAGTATATTGCAGGTTTTTTTGCAACGCGATTTTTTAAAATTCTTTGTTCTCGGGTATGGGAGAGCACAGCAAAAACTTGCGCCCGAAACTTTATCTGCAGCAATTATATCATCGAAACGCAATGATGATCACATTCTGTGATTCAAACATAAATTCTTGTGTCCCTTGATACGTTCATATTCATACATTTTTATTTCATAATACTTTATCGTATTAATCATTACATTTGGGGGAAGCAAAAGCATTCCAATTTGAAATACTTTTTAAAGCCCACTTCATATTCGTGATTCCAGCTACTATGAACTATGAAATACCTGACTAATGTGGGCAACCTTTTTCCGACAGTGTCTTTGAAGAACTAGTCGCGCTTTTTCAAGTATCGGCAAATAAACAATTTCTAATGTATAAGCAAGCATGGGAGGTTGGCGGGTGCTCTGGTGTGGTTTGCTTCTTTTCTCCTGTCACCCTTGTATCGTGTCTACCTCTCTGTTCTTTTTTTCTCTGTGTGTTGCTCTCTAGTAACATCTCTAATCGTCAGCACTTGTACGACCTATATGTGTTGCAAGTGCCGTTTAACTCTTACTAATTTTATTCTTTAAAATAAACAACCAACGTATCGGTGTAATAGGCCCATTATTTTTCTCTAAATAATGTTTGAAATAAAATGTTTCTTGGCCACTTCTTAGACAATTTCCCAATCATAGTGCTTTCTGGGTGGCACAATTTCTTAAATTCATTAGGTCAATCTGTGACTTGATTGTTTAATTTTAAGAGCATATGACATGTTGTAGCCTACTTGCCCGCAGGATTCTACTATGGGGAGGTCACTTCACCTGACTGTGTACCCGTCGCAAGTGGTTACTATAGCAACCAGACCGGATACCTGCATACTTCGTGAGTTTGCGATCCAGCATTTTTGAAGTGTTGTTGTTTGTTGTTGTTTTGTTTTTTTTTGCTCGTTAATTGTTCAATTGCTAGCAAGCACTCACTTTTGAACTCAGTACCTTAGCAAACAGTAACAAACACACTCACAAACATAGTGCCCCTCCCCCCCCCCCCCCCCACATATACACCCTCAAACACACACAAAGGGACTCCCAAAAGAATAATAAAACAAACAAAATGCCACATTAACTCCATATTACATAAAACATAACTTAAACCCTAATACATGTACATGTATCTGCTGCACTTTTGCGGGGCTCTTCCCCTCTTCGGAAATTCGTTAAATTTTGAAACATGGTAACCGTTTTCACTTTTTTAAAATAATAATAATTATTATTATATTTTATGTAAAGTAAAGTTGTTCCCGCATCCGATCCGGACATTGGGGATTGCCTTGTTAGCGTGACAACCTCCTTGGCCTTCGGCATATTATTGTGGTAGGGTGACCAGTTCCTTTCCACGCCGCCTTTACTTCCACAACTCGAAGTCAGGTACCCACTATTGCTGAGTGGGCAGGAGAGGACTTTCCGATTCGGAGACGAGCGCACTAACAGCTCCGCCACCGCACCCTCATATATTATATATATGTATATTATATATATATTAATATTATAGCCTAAGATATGAATAAAAATATATTAGGCCAATTAATAGCGTGTATATATTTAGACACTATAAACATGTAGGCTACGTAAAAATATAATATATTTTACATGTTATATATATATGTTGGTGGGTGTTACAATCATAAGAGCTGGGCTGACACACTTATTTGTGTAAAACAGAGGTGCCCTCAGTCAACAAATTGTCTTGACAGAGAGTTAAGCAAAAGTCATACCGTACATATTAAGCATGACATAATAACACACCACCTCTACACCAAAGAAGCGCTGGAAATCCTTCAGCGGTGGAGTTCCTCGGTATGCTGGAGGAATAGATCTAGTAGAGTATTTCTCCATGTTACCAGTAGAATTATTTATTTCGCTTGCAGTGTCAACAAAATACAGCACTGGACAAGTATACGCAAATGCAATTGCAGTAACTATAATAATTTGGTTAAATCAATGTCAGATAATAACGTTGCTGATTTGTCATGTTTTTTATTTAATTTTTGTTTTCTCTTGTTTTTGGATTTTCAAAAATGAGTAATTTCGAGGGCTTTGGTTGATTATTTGGGGTTTGGTTAAGGGAAGAAGGCGTCGTTTGTTTCTTTATAATAGATTGTGTGGAAAAGGATAGTCATCCCAATTAAAAATTGTATATCGTGGGTTTTTTTTAAATCCAAATCGTTCATTCCTTCTCCCCGCAGCTTCTACGACATCACCGGAGGAATCCCAGACCCGTCTGTTTTCATTCCCCCATCAAACTGCGTTCCTGTCTAAGATTTTATCTGAAAAAATCACTAGCGTGGAGATACAGACATCTACATGCTGTAGTCTAGTAATTCCTAATATTGTTAGTCATTATTACTTATAATTAAGTTATTTTCGCCAGAAGCAGTATTTTGTCCGTTTTATATCCTGTGTTTTCGAAGACACTTTGAACAAGTTCACTTCGTGGACTTTTTTAAGTTAATAAAATACAATTAATCAACGTGTAACTTAGTTCCTTTTCTTTTTGTAGAATATTAATCACACATGAAAACGAAAGTAGTATCATTTTGAGGGTGGTTTTCACTCTGACTGGAATATTCTTGGCACCAACACACACGAAGCCCTCATGTGATGAGCTCCCCTACAAAATCAATTTTGGTGCGCTTGAGTGGCACCCTGGCAGTGGATGCGTTGTGCTCCCTAATGGTGATACAGTTGGCCTACACAACTCCAGGTCTTCGCTTTTACAAATGAAATTCAGATTTATTTTCTGCAAAGTCTGACAGACGAAGTCAGTACAGTACTGTTCATTCATTGAAGTTCTTTGGCTTAAGTGGTGGAGACCTCCAAAATGACCCCCAGCACTTTGTGCGGCCAGTTGCAACGAAAACTGGAGACTGATAACAAAAGCTAAATAGGCTTACATTTGTTACAGCAAAATGGATTGGAAGGCGTCTACGTTGTTATTAAAAGTAACTGTACTATGTTGCTAATAAGAGAACATTCATTTATACATATTGAAAGGACGCCTCTTCACTTTGCTTTGTTACTTCTGTATTTTTGAAAAAGCGAGTCTTGCGGCTAAAATGGCATCCTTTTAACTGTGAAAACAGGGCCTTTTTCGTGAAGCTCTTCAATCTCTCACGAGGTACATTGTGTAGCCGCTACCTCAGAAATACACATTTCTAACTGCTCAGTACATGGGCCTAGTCTTGAGAAATTTGAGTTAAAATTCTAAAGTTTCACAATATGCTTTTTCGAAAGCAAAAATATTCTTTGAATATCTTGATAATGATTCAATATAATCTTACAATTTTTAATAGAGCAGATACCGCACTTGATTTCGGAGCCTAAGGTCCAGAGTTTTAGTAACTCCAAAAGACCTAAACTGTCCGATAGAACTTTGTAATTCTGAAATAGCGAAGTAGTTAAGTAGGCCTACTAGACCCGTAATCGTGAGATGGTTGTTTCGGGGGTTCAAGGCCAGTTGGGTCTGAGGCAGGGGCGAAGGCTGACTTGTTTGACAGGGTAATCAAAGTGAAACGGGACCAGATATAGATATATATGGCCTGTAGATATCACAGAAGAATCTTACTCGAGGCGGCGACTCTGAGTTGTGAATGAAAACAAATCCGGAATTCATATTGTATGTTCAACCGCCAAAATAATCGGGAAAGAATCTTATTAAATATCAGTTCCAACTAAAATTAAATTAACTTTAGATGTGAATAGATAAACACAAAGCAAAGAAGCAGAGATGTCAGTACTAGATCTATATGTTATAGATCTACCAGAGAGTCTAACTCTTTGGTAGAACATGACAATTATCATTTTTTAAATTTCACATTTGGCTGTTTTTGTTAGCCTTTCGTGGCCAGGAGCTGGTGTCATAATCGAGGTCACGATCTGATTATAGGACAGTAAAAAGTCGAGGAAAAAAAAACAAGCACATGCAGCAGTAAAGAGATTGTTAGGAGTTAGTTCCCCTCACATTTGTGAGGTAGACTCGACCAGTGTTCGTTAGCTTACTTAATCAGGGCTTGGGATTGATTATAACTGTGGCCCCAAAGGGGTGAACAGGGTATATGTGGCAATGAAACAGCCATGACTGCTATGCACATGTTCCCTCAAATGTATTGGTAGACTCTTCCAGCCTCACTTTAAGCTTACTTAATCAAAGCTTGCGACTGCTTATGGAGTGGCCCGAGAGGAGTGAGGAGGCTATTTATGTGGCCGTGAAACCGTTTTGAATGTTAGGCATACTCATTGTGGATTACGAACCTCTTTTTACTTTTAATTTAAGAGGTTTACGTTTAAGGATGAATTTGACAGCGACAATGTTTCAAAATTAGGAAGGGAAGCAGTGATTATTTGATTATATAGACGCTTCGCCCCTGGTCTGAGGCTGTGTCCTTGAGGCATTAAAATTTTACATGGATTTTCCGGCTAGGCTATATTCTGTCGGGGGATGGGAATTTAATTTGAAGGCCTCGTCTCTTAACCTCAAAGTAGTATTGCAAGGGTTGTTAAACCTAGATAATCCTCCTCTAGGCTCCCGACACTTTCTGCAGCATTTCTACTGCTACTCCTTGGCTTCTTCTTACTGCTATCTTTCAGCCACACCCCTGATCTTCTGGTAGGACAAATCTACACCTAGCCTTCTCGGACAAGGGCGAAAAATTTCGGAGGTCCCGTGTGCAAGTTGTGCACGTTAAAGTCCCCTTGGAGGTCCAAAATCGATTATAGAGTAAGCTTCGGCAGTCACCCGGGCAAAATTTAAAATGTCCTACCATCTGAAAAAGTTAAATGTGTCCCGCGCGCTCATATGGCATTATGCAGTTGCGTGTGCCGTAAAACAATTACCAAAATTTTTTAAAAGCCAAACAAAAAAAGAATCCTAGATAATTTCATTTCTTAAACCGCATTCTCTCGCTGTTCGGAGCTTCTGCCGCTCGGGGCACATCCATTGCCTGCCGACGTCTGCACACCTGAAAGGTTTGTCTCAGATTAACAACAACAACAATAACAACAACAACAATAACAACAACAACAAACAAATAAACAAACAAACAAAATATACCCAAAAAAAAGAAAAAAAGAAACTGTGCTTGTCCAAAACAATACGTATTGTTGAATCTCTGTGTACCTGAATGGTCAAAGTATTCCTTTTTAAAAAACACCAAAAAAACACACACAAAAAACAAGCAAACAAACTGATCTTGTCTTACTTTAAACAAAGAAAAAAAAACTAAAGTCTTGTCTTAATAAGGAATTTTTTTATATTATTGTCTGTGCTGCAGAGCTGGCTCTAGTGGCAAAAAATGCCACATCTTGAAGGCCAATCTCCGAGGGAAGCCTAGTTGGGAGATAAGGCACACTTGGCGAGGCAGACAACAAGAAAGATTAGCCTACAGTCGAGAGATCATGATAAAAGTGACATAACATTGCCAGGCAATCAAGTTCCACGGGGTGACCTCTCCTTGAAGACCAGATAGTCAGCTTTACTCATTTAACCAAAGTTTATTAAATAATACTCAGCTTAATGTTGAATCCACACAGTATCTAACCCTCTCCCTATCCCCCCCCTCTCTCTTTCTTTCTTTCTCTCTCTCTCTCTCTCTCTCTCTC